GGGCCTGGTGCACTGGGAAGACCCAGAGGGATCGGGTGGAGAGAGAGGTGGGAGGGGGGATCGGGATGGGGAATACATGTAAATCCATGGATGATTCATGTCAATGTATGACAAAACCCACTACAATATTATAAAGTAATTGGCCTCCAACTAATAAAAATTAAAAAAAAAAAAAGAATGGTCAAGGTAATGGTGAGAAGACCTGGACCTCTGCCTCAATTTGAGACAACCCCAAAGGGCCATCCCAGATCTAAAGCTCCTTGGGGGACCCTCCCAGATCTTTTTGTCACTGTATCATGGTTTGACTTGCCCCTCTGCCCAATTCTGCCCTCTTCATTGTTATACAGAAGTTAAAACTGGGAGCACTTCCCAATAAATGTTTACACACACACTCAACCTGAGAGATGTTGCCTAGGGAGTTCAACCATTGACATAGGTTTACAGTAAAAGGGGGAAATATATGCAAATATTAAAATAATTTAAATTCAGTTTGCATGTCTTGAAGAGAAGAGAGTTCTACTTTCTGAGAAGGTTTACTAACTTGTTTAAACAATAGCCAGAACAGATCAACATGTACAGGTTAAATCTTGAAGTAGCAATGCAATAAATAGCGCATGATTTTTACATGATGGCCTAGCACCTTCAACCTCTCATCACTGAAACCCAAGAAGTTTGAACAGTTCTGAGTAGTGAGGTTGTTTATCTTTCAGGAGATATAAAATCTCCTGAGGGATAAGGAAGTAAACCTGGCTTTCTTTGAGCACTAAATGGAGAGTTTTAAAATTTCAAGAAAGGTGCTCTGAAAAGCTGACCTCCTGAGGGCATAGTACCTGGAGTAGGGATCCCACATGCCTATGTCTAAGGGCAGTACAGGCTATGGGCCGGTTGATGACTACTGACTGGCTACAGAAGCAGGAACCATAGCAATTGTTGTATGCTAATTTTTGTGTATATGCATGTAGTAATCGTTGTATGCTATCCTTCCTTTTTTCCACTACCTTATATCAAGAGCATAGTAGTAGCTAACATTTTAGGATTCAGATGAGATAAAGATTGAACTGACAGCATCCCACAGAACTATGACTAATTTCCTTTGTAGAGAACATAAACCACAGACCAGATGAGGTTGAGAGCAGATGATGAGAACCCTCAGGGTGGACTCCTGAACCCCTCTGTTTGTGCTCCAGCACCACCCTCCACTCTGATTCACTGTGCAGTGAGGGTCCCCCGGAGTGACCTTCATGGTCCTCCACGTGACCTTCACGGCCCCCCGCAGCGACCTTCACGGTCCCCCGCAGCGACCTTCACGGTCCCCCGCAGCGACCTTCAATGGTCCCCCGCAGCGACCTTCATGGCCCCCCGCAGCGACCTTCATGGCCCCCCGCAGTGACCTTCATGGACTGCTTCAGTGAGTTTTTATACTGTAATAAATACAAAGAAAACTGAAAAGAGATATAACTCCCCAGATCTTCCTGTCACATTTTTCATTTCTCTGCCAAATTGTCACTTGCCTCAAAAAAGTCTCAAGACCTCAGGAGAGATGCAATGCTGAGTGTCTCTGATTTCTAGTCACTAAGATCACTATCGCTTTCAACAAGGACCCTGGACATGAAATTTTTCTTCACTCTGCTCCAAATAAATAGAGTCAACCCTCTCTAGAAGTGTAGATACCTGTCCTTACAGACTGATGCTCTCCCCCAAAAGAACGTCTAAACCATGTNCAGTGACCTTCATGGCCCCCCGCAGAGACCTTCATGGCCCCCCGCAGTGACCTTCATGGACTGCTTCAGTGAGTTTTTATACTGTAATAAATACAAAGAAAACTGAAAAGAGATATAACTCCCCAGATCTTCCTGTCACATTTTTCATTTCTCTGCCAAATTGTCACTTGCCTCAAAAAAGTCTCAAGACCTCAGGAGAGATGCAATGCTGAGTGTCTCTGATTTCTAGTCACTAAGATCACTATCACTTTCAACAAGGACCCTGGACATGAAATTTTTCTTCACTCTGCTCCAAATAAATAGAGTCAACCCTCTCTAGAAGTGTAGATACCTGTCCTTACAGACTGATGCTCTCCCCCAAAAGAACGTCTAAACCATGTAACTAGTAGGTGAGTGGATGGGGACAGCCTCAAAATAAAATGCCCAAAGATTCCTGCTCTTCTTTTCAAGGTTGGGTAAATTTTTCCTGGATAAGCACTTCCCAGTTTGTTGTATGCTTCTGGTCAATATCCAGGGGTTTCAAATCACTATTTTTGACGAACTTGTCCAGCTTCATTGTTGCTTCTTAGAGATAGGTTTTGTGAGCTACTTAATCATCTATTTTGAAAGTCACACCTTCACAAACCTTATGTTTGGTGGTTAAACATTATATACAAATATTAAAATATACTGAAACTTTAAATAATAAAATTAGGAAATCTTTGGTACATGGATAAGCATAAAGTACAGCAAAATAATAGTTTAAATGTATAGATGTTTCGTGTGGTATGAATATAGGGGTTCCTGCTAGTCCCATGAGGAGGTGAAAGGTGGCTGGAAGTCGGGGGATCTTCTCTGGGAGCTTCGATGAGGAGATAACCCTACAACAGGGGCTACAGGACCAACGGCCTGACACAGAGGCCACCTGGAAGAGATGGCTGAGATTCAGATGAGCCAAGATGAGCCCAAAGCCACAAAGGAGAATGAGAAGTCACTACACATACTATATAATATCTCATAAATCAATAGGAAATCTCTCTCATTAATCTGCTCCTCCCTCCCACAGGCACACAGCTAGCCCACATTGCTGACCACTGCTGTAGTCAGGAGTGAATGTAAATAGGATCTCTCCAATAAAAGGCGAGGAGTGACGTGGACCACTTTCAGCCCTGGCCACAGGAAGCCTCCCATGAATGCACTCCACACTCTTTCCTTTGGCACTGCCTGGATGCAGATAATACTGAGTCTCAGTAGATGTCGATCATGATTAATTGTATGTGTCAACTTGACTGCACCACATGATGCCAAATATCTGGTTAAACATTATTTCTGGGTGTGCCCATGAAGATGTTTCTGGAAAAGATTGGCATTTTCAGCTTTACTCAGTAGACTGAGTAAAGCATATTTCCCTTCCTCATGACAATATATCATCCAATCCATTGAGGTCCTGTTCAGTTCAGTTCAGTTCAGTAGCTCAGTCATGTCCAATTCT